GACTTTCTGGACTTCAAAAATCCAGATGTAGCAGAATCAGCACAATGAATTGCTCGAGAACTATGTGCTAATTGTTTCATGAGATGTATTAGGAATAAAATGACTCTCAGATGGTGTGCCCACTTGTAGCCTGCACAAGCATAATTACAGTTATCCAGTTGGCATGCAATCCCCATTAACAACACTGAAAAACATGGGATTAGCCTCAGATGAAAAAGTGGAAGAAAACAGGTGCCACAATACACAGTGAACCCAAGAGAACATTCAACACACATCCTACCACTCAAATGCCCCATTAACTGTAGGCTCTGAGTAGCTATGGACTTTGCAGAAACTTTTCCCACTGAGAGGGTTGTCTAAAATTGTCCCCATCAGAAAGAGGGATCAGAAACCTGAGGGGAGGGGGAAAAAAAGAAAAAAAAAAAAAGGCACCTCTGCTTCATTTAAAAATTCATAAAAGAAATCTGTTCAAGGGAAGAAATCACAAACTGTCTGATACGGAGCAGCATTTAGGAGGAGAGCTTAGGAGGTGTCACACGTTTTTAAATTACACAAGGTCTTTGTGCAACGAGAAACACAGCACTAGGTATCCCTCCCCCGGTGCTGGAAATGGCAGAAACTCTACGCAAAGCAAGCATTTGAACACAGCTAACACTGCGCATTTGCTTTTAGTAAGAGCACATCTAACTATGAGGGCCTATGAGAACAATCACTATTACCAAAAGGGAGAGTGAAGAAGTTGATCAGGGAGGCCATTTGGAAGGTTCTTGTCTAATACTCAATCTCTACATGTTCCCCAGTACTCAACAACCATGGCTCTCAAGTACTCCCCAAAGAGATCATTTTTTATTCGAGTTTGTAAGCACTGATAGGGAATGCTTCCTGAGACAAGTACTTACAAATAAAGCACTTCAGCATTTCTGTATGTAGCAAGCATTAGTGCAAAGAAGGGCTGATAAAGAAAGAACAGGCCCATCTGCGTGGTCTCACTAGCTTTCTTTCCACCTTATTTTGACACTCCAGATTTCCTGCGGGCCTGCTTCCACGGTCCCTCTGTTCAAGTCTGCCTCTTCACGGTTAACAATGGGTCACATCAACCAGTAATTCTCAGGTGACTGAGCTGCAGGGTTGTCAGTAGAAAGGAGAAACTTAGTCCTTTTCTTGACCTGCTCCCCTAAAAAGTCAAGAGAAAGAAAAGCTGTATTTTAACATGAATGAGGGTCTAATTTTTATTATTCTTTGTTGGCTGCCTTCCTTCCACAAACATGACATTTTCGATCCAGACTGCTAGCTGTGACCAAGCCATGCCGGGGAGGCTGTCTGGAGTCAAAGGCTGTGGAACAGATGTTTTCTGAGAGTTAGCTGAAGAAAGTTCAATCTAAAAAGTACCAAGTGAACCTCCTTGCAGGAAAAGGTGGACAAGCTCAAGAGAATACAATGAACAGGTTTCTACCTGCCTTCCCCCATCATGTACATACTTGACTGAGCCTGATGCCTCCCACGGAAACCTCTGAGGAGTAGCAAGGCTCAGCCATGGACCCCTGGTTACGGCTCACAGAGCACCATGAACATGAGATGAACAATACAGGAACTCTCAAAAGTTCAGTTCAAAATATTCACTGAAACACAGATGAGACACGTTTGAGTCAGCTACAGAAGAACACTTGATCTACATAAAATTTGAGACAACTCTACCAGTGTAACAGTGATCTGCTGATGAAAATGAGGTTAGCAGGGCTATGAGGTAGGAACCTGTAGAACTGTGATCCAGAGGTATAAGCTCCAAAGCTGAATTTAAAGTCAGCTGGTGCTTCCTCAGCCTCTGTAAGCTGGTCTATCTGTATCACTTCAGTGCAAGTTTGAGCTCCAGTCTTCTGAAAGTGGTGACCCTACTTACACTAATAGGTGAACCCTTGTAGAAGGAACTTGCATGAAAACACCTTACAGCCCTTGTCCAATCTCACTTGTGTTTCAGCCAACAGAGCTTTTAGACATCAGCTTCTATTTTTACCCTGGAAGGACTATGGAAAAGGCTCCGTGGGACATACTTCTGCCAAGTAACTGCTTACATTCCCTTCCATATGCTTAATGACCCAACTGATGCTTACATAGTTACTAGTCCCATCATATTAGGCACATAATGAAGCGATAACTGCAAAAGCAGGGAGTGACCACAGCATTAAGAATGAGGTGACACAGCCTTCAGCTTAAAAACAAATCAATTTCAATCTGTTGGGAAGAATAGGACCAAAACAGATCTGAATTGCGATGCTGCTCCACTTGAAAACAGCAGCAAAAAGGAATATGGGTGAATATTTGGGTCTGTTCTCAGAGTCATTCTCAGCAGGTGTTTTTAAAAAACATCATCTCTATACATTCATGGGCAGTACATCTACTTTGCAGCTTAATGGTGTCGCAGGGCATAGGTCCCAGACCCAGCACTTCACGGAGCCTCTTGAATGTCTACATCTTGCTTCCCATAGCATTCTCTGGGCCTGTATGACTTATGGATTTACCTTCCCAATATGTTATCATGTGTAAAATTTATTTGGGGGTAAATAACTGAATTTCTTTTCATAAATTCCAACTTTAGCTCTAGACACGATTTTATACACTTACACAAGCCTTATTTATCCTACTAAGACATTTCAAAAGATGTCTGATAATTTGATAAGAGGTCTGGCTAGGGAGAGGAAGCAAACTCATGTCACTAGAGGACGACAAGTGGAACAAAAAGCAGTGAAAATAAAGGGAATTAGAGACGAGCAAGATGACAAAATCAAAGGATAAACAAAGATTATGGAAAAATTAAGGGGGGGAAATGAAATCAGTTCCATGCAGACAGCAAAGCAGGTCCATCTCTGGGAGGGAAACAGTTCAATAGCAAAAAAATTATAAACCAAGGGAGAGTGGGGATTTGGTGGCAGTGAAGGTGTTATTCTGGCTGTAAAACGCTAATCTTTCTGCTACGGGTACCCCTACACAAGCTGTGTTGCCACTGATGACTCAGTCTGCAGCTTGTGAGATGGCAAGAGTGCATCCTGGAACCTCACAGCATCAGGCGGCATGGCCTCCAGCCTTCTGTCTGTGTCAATAAACATTATCAGAACAGTATTTACTATTTCACTTAATGCGCACTGTAGAGGCAAATAAGTGGAGCCCCTTAAGCTATCTCTTGCCAAGAGACAATTAAATAAGCACTTTGGTTTGCAAACACAGCTTCCCTGACATTGAAACCCTGTAGTTTTCCCTGTTTTTGCAACAGGCTGTTGTTTTTTTTTGTGAGCTCAGACATTATTTCACAGCATGCATATCTCCTGTGAAGCCCTATCAGCAAAGGGACTGTGCAGATCAGTGGCCACCACTGCCGTAACAGTTACACAACGATTTTGCACATTTGACAGATAAACTCTTTCTGCGTGTGCAGTGGCTGAGCCCATAACAGTAAGCAAGCAAAAGTGTGAAACCAGCAGCCCAAAATGTGGGGACAGGGAAGAGCCTAAGGGAAGCAGGGAACCCACAGCTTACACCACTTGCTTCAGGGCAAGATACCATCTGCCTCCATATTTTACCCCCTCATCGAGTTATAACAACTTTCTCCTGCATTCCTAATCACCTATCTACCTGAACCCTATCCAGATTCTGAGAAACTAAATCACCATAAATTAGAAAGTCATCAAAAATGACCCCAACGAGGGCCCTTCCAAGCTGCAAAAGCACCTTCAGGCCAGCAACTCTCTGCCACTACCTAGCAGTGCTGGGGGAAGGGGGGCTTAACACATGGGGCTCATCAGCTCATCATGACTAAGCTGGGGAAGAAGAAATGTAAGGAAGCAAGGGAGGCATATTTCTGTTGCCACAGAAGATAATTAGCAGCCAATAACAATCCCCTGTTTCTTTTTAGACAGGCAGGAGCCATGTCCTGTACTTTCACTGGGTGAAGTAAGGAATTTGATTTGTCACACGCTCTCATTTGTAGATCTCTCAGATGGTTTTCCACATTTTATAACCCCTGAGCAATTATGATTATCACTCCAGTAACTTCATAATTTCCTTAAACAAAATAGTAATGCTTTGGTGTAGACTGTGGCACAGTGGAAACAGTAGTCCCTGGCTTCAAGTGCTGAAGTTCTGAAGGGTTCTTTTATATTATCCTCAACAGGGTTACTGCCACCTCTTCCTGGAGCTTACCAAAAACTTTTTTCCTCTTCTTTTTTTGTAAACTCTTGCTTATTTCAAATGTCATGAAAAGTAGTGACAAATATCTGAGGAAAGAAGCTTGAGAAGTGACATTTCTTTGTGCTCCTCCAAGATAGACTTGTCTGTCTCATCCTTGGGTTAGCATTTAGAAAACCTGAGGAGCTCGTCTTTCTTTGAGCTTGCTTCCCTGTGATGCAGACACCATCCTGAAACACCGCCCTCCCCGCCGGCCCCAGTCTGTATTCCTTGCAAGGAGGAATGCTTATCTGTGTACAATGATGGCTGCAGTCTGCAATGCAGACACGAAAAGCCTCCGCATGTCCCGGGGGGATCTCTGGGCTCCCCCTCCATTCTTTGTACTTGGGTGGGGATCGATGAGGAGGCGTAGGTGGGGAGCAAGACTGTGAAATGTGAGGGCGGGGGTGCCAGCCCAGCCTAACTTGCCGTACGGGACAGCCTCGCTCACGCCTGCTAGGCCTGAGGTGGAAACAAAGCGTCTCTTCCCATTCCCCCGAGGGGACGGGTGTGCGGGCAGCAAAGAACTGACCCCCACCGAGGACTCAAATGGGGAAGTTGGCCCCTCTGTCCTAGTCCTCCCCCACTCTCTGAATATCCCCAAAGCCACTCCCCCCCAATCAACTGACTTTTAACATGACAATGGTCGTGACAATCCCTTGGCCAAAGCCAGTCTGGGGAGGACATAAAACATTGCCCCTCACCGCCTAATGGGGTATCTCCGTGCAGTAGGTCCGTCCGCAATCAGCTCACCGCCAGCTACAGCTGGAGGTACCGTCCCGACCATGAGCGCTCACCTGGCCATGCCGTCCTACGGCGCCGTTAGGTGCGGGCACTACTACTGGCCCTCCCCGGGCAGCATGGATAGTGCGTCCGCTGAGGAAGCTCCAGCAGCAGACCTTTCCTTGACCGCAGCGCAGAAGACGCCCAGCCACCCAGGTATGTGGACCCGAAGGGGTGGCCGTATCTCTTGCTGTCTCCCCTCCTCCAGCGCGAAGCCCCTGGTGCTCCGCTAGCGCACGTCGGCTTTTATCAAAAGCTGTCCACTGCCAGGGAGCGATGAACGGGCCGTGTCGTGGGGCGGGAGGGTAGGCAGTACTCCTCACCTGCCCCGCCGGGAGCTAAGCGGTGGGCAAGGGCTGGGAGCTCGCCGCGAAAGACCTGGCGCGGCCTTCGTGTCCTGGCGAAGCTGCGGGCTGTCTTGCCGGCTACCACTGCTTCTCGTGCTCACCCTGGCTACGGAATCTGCAGCGGTCTCCAGTGTTCCAGAAGCTGAGCCTCGAAGTCTTTATCTGGAGTGACTGCTCACTCTAGTTGTCCTTTCTCCTCAGATGCCTCTCCAGCTTCCTCCAGCTCTGGGACACTCATTCAGTATACCCCGGACTCTGCCACTAGCCCCACTGCAGACCACCCATCTCACCACCCCACTTTTCAGAAGGTCAAGGATAAAGGTGAGAGTGGGGCAAGGAAGGCCAAGAGCCGCACGGCTTTCTCTCAGGAGCAGCTGCAGACCCTGCACCAGCGGTTTCAGAGCCAAAAGTACCTCAGCCCCCATCAGATCCGGGAGCTAGCTGCTGCCCTGGGGCTCACCTACAAGCAGGTAACATCTTCCTCTGAGCAGCCAAATTGCATCATTAAATGTAAAGTCATCTCAAACATCTTTTCTTTTCTTGGACTCGCAGGGAGGAGTGTTTCTCAGTATATTGGTTATGTCAGAGATACGGTCCTTGCCCCACCAGTTACTCATGTGTGACTGAGGCGATTTGTGAATCGGCACTGATGTCGGCCCAGCAGTGAGAAGCTGCCGCCATTCAAGCAACTTTGCTGTAGTTGCCTTGTCTGGCATGTTTTTCAGGCAGGGGTTTTGATGCTTTGAGTGTAAAAACCGGTGACCGGAGCTAAAAGTGCGCTAGTCCCAGCGTTGATTCTACAGCTATGTAATGTTAGCTGATGGAACCGTGTATAGTATTGGAAGCAAGGCAGAAACTATGAGGGCTGCTCCAAAAGTAATGCCTCCTATCTTATTATGTTGGATCACAACCTCAGAGGCAGAAGCTTCCTGCCAGTATTCCGTTACGTTTTATTGCCGTGCGACAGATGGCAGCAGAGGGGCAATCTGACAAAATAGTGTCTGACATGGAAGGGCAAATGAAGCAAACGTGTCTCACTTAACCCACTGACATTCATTGACACTTTATGAACGTTTATGGAAATCAGGCAATGGACGTTTGCACAGTGAGGCCATGGGTAGTGCTGGCAATGTGGATCACTTGCATTGGTGTATATTTTAATGAGTTGTGCCACACAGGCTGTTTTTTATCACTGGTGAAAATGCATAGCTAATGATGGTTGCTATGTTGAAAAACAGTGCTCCGTATCTGGGAATTCGCTCTATCCAATAGCATTATTGTGCTCTTTCTAGCTACTGGAGTTTCCATGGAAATAAATAGGAGACATTACTTCTGGAGCAACCAATGTATATTGCTGTAGAAAGAAAAATTTGGGGGATACATAGTAAGATTCAAATAGGAATGAATTTGTAATGTTCCATGGTCTGTCCCCTCTCTTCTAGGTGAAGACATGGTTTCAGAACCAACGGATGAAATTTAAACGTTGCCAAAAGGAGAGTCAGTGGGTGGATAAAGGGATTTATCTACCACAGGTGAGAGAATTCCCCTTGCCCAAGTATGCCTTACTACTAGTCAGGGTTCCTGCTTTCTGTGGGGAAAAGTGTATCATGTCCAAGCCAGTTTCATTTTTCATAATGAATTCTACAGCAGCATCTATTTTTTAAGCCTGCCTTGGCCATTGAGGTATCTTTTTTTACACTTAGTTAAGAAGTGGTAAAAAAATTAAACAGCTCAGGAGGGCCAGTGAGGCTGTTCATGTTGCTGGTTTTTGTTTTGTTTTTTTTTTTTTTTTTCTTCTAGCATGGTGTTCCCAGAATTGGACTGTAGGCTTTTTAACTTAAGATCTGTGATCTCTGATATTAATTAACCATAGTGAAGACACTGGACTGAAAAGACCATATTTTGGAGGAGGTGGAAAGTAGGATACGTACAATACAATGGGTACAGTTGGTGTGGTGCTAATAATTACTGAATGGACTCTTATCTGTCTTTCCCAGAATGGGTTTCATCAAGCTGCGTATCTGGATATGACCCCTACATTTCACCAGGGCTTCCCTGTTGGTGCCAACAGAAATCTTCAGGCTGTGACCAGTGCACACCAGGCTTACAGCAGTGGCCAGACTTATGGGAATGGGCAGGGCTTGTACCCATTCATGGCTATGGAGGATGAGGGGTTCTTTGGAAAAGGTGCAACAAGCTGCAATACCCAGCAGGCCATGGGCCTATTAAGTCAGCAGATGAACTTCTATCATGGCTACCCTACCAATGTGGATTATGACAGCTTGCAGGCAGAAGACGCCTACAGCTTCCAAAGCACCTCTGATAGTATCACACAGTTCTCGAGCTCTCCAGTACGGCATCAGTACCAGGCCCCTTGGCATACCCTGGGGACCCAGAGTGGTTATGAGACTTAGACCTAAGTATTGTTCTTTCCCTTCCTCCTGTTTTGTCTCATGGGGTTTCTAGGGTCTTGACTCAGAGATCCAATTCCTATTCCTTTCTTTTGCCTCTCCTTTTCAATTCCTGCTTTAACTGTTGGTGGGGTTTAGCACTCCACTACTTTGGGTTTCTTTTCTCTTCAAAGGCATCTCTGCAAAGCTAATCCTTTGCAAGGGTGTGTGTGGACAGGTGAAATTGCATTTATGGAGGGGAATGTGCAATGCCAAGGTCAGGAGCAGTGGAGATGGCAAAGATCCATGTTTACTGTTCAAGATCCACTTCGCTGCCTCTTTTGCGGATGATTCTCTGGTCTTTGACACGTGTCTTGCAGCTAAAACTTGGATAAGAACTTTTAATTTCTGCAACAAATACCCTATTTGTAGCCCGGAGTCTTTCCTGCTGTCTTGCCTTTTTCTGTAGCAACCTCCGTCATCTAGTAAGTTCACCTGGGTCCTCTCATCTCTGAACTGAAAACCTAAATATTATCTTAACTTGATTCAGTTATTCCGTCCACCTGGAAAGGTCAGTACCTGCCTACCCTTTGCCTCCCGCCTTTCTATGTACATAGGGCAGTTTAAAGAGGAGGAGAAAAGAGAAGTTAGAGGGAGTGTTGTCTGTACCTGCTGTGGAAACACTTTGATTTCCAAAGCTGCTGAATGCTTTATGCCTGTCAAATAACTAACAATTAATCTCTGGAACTATTTGTAACAGTTTAGATCTTGTCTTCCCTAATCTCTCTGCTGAGAAAATGTTGGCTTGTCCCAACCTGAATGTTGCAGCAGATGGTACACCAAAATGCCATTGCTGGAAATGTGAGTAGTGGCTATATTTAACCATCTGAGAACGTGCTGAGAAATAGTTTGCTTATCTGTTTATCAGGATTCACTAGCAATTTGTGAACACAGTGAAAATATGGGCAGCTTTCTCAGAGGTAGAGGGTAGGCAAAGGTAAAGGGCATGGTTAAGTTAAATCATGGTTAGTTATTCTGAAACCTGAATGTCAGTGAGGAAAACCCTGTTGGATAGTAGGGGGGCTAGAGCAGGATTTTTCCCTAATCTCTTGTCTAATCCTAGTTTTAAGATAGCAAGCAAATGTTTTCATGCAATCTCCAGTGCTTAGTTTGATTTTTCCATATTCTACTGCTGAAAGGTTTATCAATTACCTCTTCTGGTAGCTGTTCTGGGTGAGGTGACAAATTTAGGAAAACCTAGATAGACAATGAAAGAATGAAAATGGCAATTAAATCTTTTCATTTTATTTTTAAAAAGAACTGAATCATCCTTTTCCTAGTATGATTGGTATCTCCTAGTATGGAGATTACTAGAACTCACTGACTGCCTGTGTGAAACTGGATCTTTTTTAAGTGGTGAGATTGGAGAGTCCAGTCTGCTACTGCCCAAGAATACAAAATGTCTTGAGTTGGCAAGAGTAAATAAATGATAAAAGCATAAATAATTTTTTTCACTAATGCAGTTTGTACTGAAATCCTGTATTTTAATGTATTTGAAAGGATTATATTTCATAGCTGAACTTCCACTACAAAGAAGATGGATGCTTGCTGCTATTCTTGCAGTAATCATGGCCATGTTCTATGGCATATGTGTGTTGTCTGCTGCTCTGCTTCTGCTTGATGTTTGTACAAACTTGATTGAATTGAAAATAAATGATTTTATTTTAATGCTGAAACAGTGTTTCTTGCTTGTACTTTTTACCAGAATGGTGTTTTAAGGAAATAATTATTCGGGTAGCACCACAGTAGAGAAGAAAGGGAGGTAAAATGTAACCTTGCTGTGTTTAGCCCAGAAGAAGTGGTATTAGTTGTAGAATTATGGAATCAAGGTTGGATAAGGTTGAATCATTAATTCCAACTGTCAGCCTATCACTACCCTTGCCTGCTAAACCATGTCCTTAAGCACCTCATCTACATGTTTCTTTAGCATCTCCAGGGATGGTGACTCTACTACTTCCCCTGGCAACTAGAAAGAAAGGACATACTCCTTTATAACAGCTGTTTAAGATTAGGTCATAGGATTTTGTCAGTCTTTTCTTCAATTATGGAATAGCTTGAGTTAGAAGAGACCTCAAGGATCACCAAGTTCCAACCCCCCTGCTGCAGGCAGGGTTGCTAACCACTAGATCAAGTATTAGATGAGGTTGCTCAAGGCCCCATCTAACTTGGCCTTGAACACAGTCAGGGACACGGCATTCATAACCTCTCTGGGCAGTCTGTTCTAGCACCTCACTGCCATCTCAACAAAGAACTCCCCCTGAACATCTGATCTAAATCTTCCCTCCTTTAGTGTAAAACCATCCCACCTTGTCCTATCACTACCTACCTGTGTGAAAAGTTGATTTCCCTCCTGTTTATAATCTTGCTTAAATACTGGAAGGCTGTAGTGAGGTCTCCCTGCAGCATTCTTTTCCCCAGACTGAACAAGCCCAGTTCCTTCAGCCTGTCTTCATTGGAGAGGTGCTCCAGCTCCTTGATCATTTTTATGGCCATCCTCTGGACTGTCTCCAAAATCTCTACATCTATACTGTGTTGGAGGGCCCAGACACAATACTCCAGATGGGGCCTAAGGAAGGCAGGGTAGAAAGGAATAGTTACCTCCCTTGTCCTGCTAGCTACTCCTCTTTTAATACAGCGTAGGATACAGTTTGCCTTCTGGGCTGCAAGGACACACCATTGGCTAGCATCAAAATTTGCCAGTACACCCAAGTCCCCAGCCTGAGTGCAACAGCCTGTACTTTGCCTTGTTGAACCTCATTTGATTCACATAGGCCCATTCTTCAAGCCTGTCCAGGTCACTCTGAATTGCATCCCTTCTTTCTATTGTGTCAACTGCACCATTCAACTTAGTGCCATCAGCGAACTGTTTAAGTCGTTATTGATAGAGATGTCAAAGAGCATCAGTACCAAGATTGCCTCATTGGGGTTTACCACTCATCACTGGCCTCTAACTGTACGTATAGGCATTGACTACAATCCTCTGGATATGACCATCCAAACAATTCTTTATCCACCAAATAGTCCAACTTTCAAAAACATCTTTCTTCAATTCAAAAATAAGGATGTGATGGGGAACAAGATTGAAGGCATTGCACAAGTCCAGATAGGCCACATCAGTTGCTCTTCTATTATATATTGTTGACATCACTCTATCACTGAAGGTCACCAAATTGCTCAGGCATAATCTGCCCACGTTGAAGCTGTGATAGCTGACTTAGACCACCTCTTCCTCTCACATGTGCCTTATCCTATCTTCCATTTGAATCTGCTCCATGATCTTTCCTAGGCCCAGCCTAGAAGTAGAGAGGTACAAGTGTGTTGGGAAAATTTTGCTCAAACAGACTTGCTTAATTATCCCAAAAAGAGATTGAAGAAAGTCTACAGCTTTCTTTATTCCAATAAAGGGAAAGTCTACAGGGAAAGCCCTCCCCCAGGATTTCTCATAATATCAGGGTTTACAGCCCCCCTTTTTTCCCTATATCCCAACCATATTGTTTCTCCTCCTTCTCTTTCTGGCTGGAGTACTTGGACATTACAGGCTACCTGGTATGCCTAATATGTTTTCTTCCTTGTATGTGACCCCCTTTTGTATCACACATCACATGTAAAACTAACTCCAACTTTATGCCACCCAGGAGATAAATTAATATTAATTAACCCATTAAGCCTATACAAAGTTCAAAAGTTCTTGTTGTTATTTTGTATTACTAGAACCTTATTTGATGAGAGTGTACAGACACCAAGTGCAAGTGAATTTGCAAGCTTCTGAACAAGTTTGCAAGCACAGCATCTTGTTCACAAGCCTCTGTGCAAATAGTTTTGTTTGCAAGGACATTTTGTTCTTAAGCCTCTTCTATTTCAGGTGTGTTGCATGATGGGCTCCAGGAATAGGCAAGATGTTAGTTGCTTGGCTTACACTAATGACAGTCCAGTAACATGCTTGCGTTTGACCTTTATCTGCAATGCTTAATAATTATTTAAGTATGAGAGATATTAACAAAGCTTAAACTTTTCAACACACCTTTTGCTAAAATAGCTGTGGGATGGAGGCGGCTTTCTCTGAAACTATGGTTTGTTACTGCATTTGCCATGTGTTCTGCAGAAATTGAATGTTCCTTCACAGAAACAACTACTCCTTTGGTTGGTGAGCCCCTAGGGTGCATTGGGGCTTGGTAATCATGTCATTGCATAGATGGAAGGAAGATGCAAATTGGCTATTGGAGTTTTGGCATGTGGACTGAGAAAGACCAGGGTTCAGGAAGGGCTTCTGACAGCTGTGGAAAGTCACAGGACTTCACAGTTTCATGCTGCTGGAGCCCTTGAGCAAGGGCTCCTGACCCCAATTGTCTCTGCAGCGTGGGTAAAAGGTGTGATATTTAATAGCTTCTTCCCTACAGGAATTCGCAAGTGCTATATTAAGTCATCTAATTACCCTGAAGGATTTGAATATTAAATAACAGGGCTTTGAAAATTTTCAGTTAAGCATTGCCACACATCTATTGTTTGACCTGTCATCAGTGGCCAAAAGCATCTTGACCAATACTGAACATATGAAGAGGCGTGATGAAGAATCCAAAATAATGTCAGTGGATTTTAGAGAAAAAAAAAGACATTTCCTTTCATGCAACAGCCATGCAATATACATGTCATCCACTGTTTTGAAGAGCACCCTCATGTCCTGTCTCTGAATACAAGTTGATTCTTCAAAAAGCTGTTTTTCCCCATCAAGTATTGTAAGTACAGACCTGTAAACAGTGTAGCTGTATAACCAAAAGGTCAGAGTTGCTACATGAGGGAATGGGTGTAGTGGGAAACAACTGTGAGACGCAGAAAAACAGAACAGCTTTGCCAACAAAAGACCACACATCTTATTATCCCAGTCTCAGATAAATGCCTTCATCCTATGCTCATTTTTTAAACCATGACAACTACATCACATGAAGAAAATATTATTGTAATAAAAG